TGTAAAATTTCTTATTAAATTATAATTAATAATTATTTATTTAATTCAATAGATTAAGATTAAATTTTAATTAATTTTTGAGAATGTTGAAATAAGATTACAAAAAATTGCGTGGAAATTTTTTGTTGAAAATTTTAAAATTTTTTAACAACAATTTTCATGTATTCGCAAAAATTTTACTATAAAGGCTTTCCAGAATCATTGTAACAAAATCGAATAACTGTTAGTATTGTTTGGATTTAAATTTTCAATTGAATTTCAAACCTACGATTGAATAAATTAATCTTTATTTACTCTAAAAATATAGAACAAAATAATTGTATTAAAAAAAAAGAAAACTCAATTGAAGGAAATAAAATTTTTGTTCTTAAATCTAGGAAAATCCTTTTTTTTATAAAACAAAATTATATCTTCTTTCTGTTTAGAATTTTCTATATATTCATAATACGTACATATATAATATACAAAGCATCAGTAAATTCCTTTAGAATTTTAATACCATAGATTTAACAAAAGAACAATAATAAATAGAATTTTCTGTGTCAATAGCCATAAAATTCAAGGACTTAATTCATAGACCATAGTTTTGTTTTTGTTTTATTCATAAGTTACATACATAAACGAGAAGATTTTCTAAAATAATGATAGAATTCCTTTAACAGCTTTTATAATGAATGAAAATGCATAAATACGAGTACTATAGTGAAAATGTATTCAGAATTTCCAAGAATATATAGTGATTTTATTTTATATTAATAACAAGAGCATGTTGTTTCTCTAATTTTCCACTTTTTCGTATTAAGTATGCATAATATATAAATATGTATAAATAGAGGTAGGTTTTTTATGTAATTTAGAAGCTAATTGTTACTTTTAAGTATTCTACATTCGAAACACAAGGAAAATAAATTTCGAGAATTGAAAAATAAAAGGGGTGGAAATTAAAGAAAGTGTTTTTGGATTTAATTTGCACATTTTAAAAAATTATTTTTTTCTTTTGTGAAATTCAAAATTTGTTTTTAAATAAAACAAAATGAATATTATAAATTTAAGCTCTTAAATATTTCTGTAATATGACTGTTAGCTGTAATTTTTTGAATTTATCTACTTTTAAGGTTATTGTACTTTAAAATGCTATATAAATCGGGTGAAAATACTGGAAGGATTAATACAAGTAGATTTACGAAAATCGGAAGTATTATTTAAAGCGTAACAGTGAAAAATTAAAGTTAAATAAATTGCTTGCTTTGTTTTATCAACTGGAACTAAGAGAAGAATTATTGATGAGATTTTACTAGTTATTAACAAACATGTTATTGACATTATAATTAGTAATTAATTAGGTCACGTTTAATTTGAGTGAGTTATTAATTTCCTCGATATTCTATTGAGAAATTGGGGTTGAAGCAATCTGAAGCCTCCTACTGCAAAAAAAATCTGCAGCCCCTATGACAAAATATAAACAGAAACGCTTACATTTAAAATTTTTTATTTAATTGTAACAAACAGATTATGGAAATGGAAATGAAATTTCCAAAAAAGTAAAAATAGTAAAAAAGCTTCCCCTTGTTTTAATTTTTGTTTGGAAGAATTGGAATTGCATTAATATAATTGGTTCAAAACTATAATAATAATCCATGTTATTATTATCGATTTCGTTCTTCATATATTAAAAAAATGTAATTAATCTATATTACTGCTATCCATACGAAACCGAGAATTAGGCAGAAATCTTATAAACAGTTCTAAGTAGTCGATTCTTTTTCAATACTACAGTTACCAAATAACGTTTTTGAAAAACTGCAGTAGCATGTAGCTTGTATAGTTTTGCAGTTTGTGAAAGTTTCTCTTCAAAAAGTCAAAAAATACATCCTTTGGATATAGCAAAAAAATGTGTATTATTCAAAATTTTTTACAACTAGTTTAAGTTTTATAAAATTTTGTGATTATTTCAATGTTTCTATTTTGATTCGAGCAATTTCATTTACGGAATAAGATCGGAATCCCTTAAAACTGGTCCAATTGCACAAATTGTATAAAATTGAAGTAAAATAATGCTCAACTTTAGAATGAGACATATGTAAAGATATTTTTTTTAGTGAAAACAAGAGACAAGTTCTATAGGACACTTAAATTGATATGATTTCGGAAAGTAATAATTGATACTGTACTTATAGTACAAAGACTGAGAGACGATTTAACATAGGTTGATGTAAAATACAATTTTAGCCCCAATTAACAAAATTCAAAATATTTTTTCAATTCCGAATTCCGCTAAAAGAGTAGATTATTACAAAAAAATATTTTTTTTGAAAGAGCTTAAACTGCTACATTTCTCTCGTATTTCAATGGTAACTTTAACTGTGTATGTGCTTTAAAAATGGTATAGGGATGTTGATTAAATATTTATAGTTGTTCATATTTAGACATTATTTTAATTATGCGGAAGGTGATTTATATTTACAAAAAGATTTTAAGTTTATTTCTCTTTTTTGTTTTTTTGCTTTTTAAAAAGAAACAAAAACGGAAGAACCTCTACAAAGGAGCTCTTCTGGTCGGTGAATTTTTCAATTCTTTGTTTAAATATTTTTATATTTACATTTTTTTTCTTTTTATTTTTTTTTTTTTGGTTCATTTAAGTAATTGCTCTCATTACAGCGTTATGCAACTTCCTGGTTTTGACTTTATATACAAAATTACATAATAACAAAAGAAAAACCATAACAATAATCATAAAAAATTATTTTTCAGAACATTAAAAATAATAAGAACAACAGTAAATAATAAAAAAATAATTTTATTAAAAAAAAAATTTGAAAAAAAAAAAAATTTCCCTAAATGAAAATATTGTTTTGTGTTGGCAAAAAAAAAGAGAGGAGAATTGTAAGAAAGTAAAAATTTTCTAATTAAAAAAAAAAATGAAGAAAAAAAACATGGTGACAAAATTGGTGACCAAAATGAGACATAAATTTTTGTTTTCATTTTTTTTTTTTCATTTGGTGAATAGGACATTGGAGTGCAATTAATAATTTTTTTTTTTTTTGGTTGATTCTCGCATTTGCCTTAAGTCCATATACACTGTTTAAGAAAAAAATGAAAAATAGGAGGCCTTTTATTCCTTGTAAGTCGTTTCACTTGGACGTGAACAAAAAATAAATATGGTGGTCTGTGTATGTGTATAATTTAATTAAGTTAATGGAATGGCAAGGATATTTTATGAGCATCAATAGAGAAAGGCCAAAGAAAAAAAATATCATTTTTTCTTTTATTAAAATTAAAGGAAGTAAAAAATGTATATAGCTACTAAAAATTAACAGAGAAACAAAAATAATATTTTAACTAGATTTTTTTGTAAGGGATGATGTTATTTAAATTGTGTGCATAAAATAAGAATAAAGTTGGGTCAAACCAATGGTTTGTATTGTAGCACTTTTCCCTTCAACAAGTGAAAATTCTGCTTTTAAATACAATCTATGTGTACCACACTATTAAAATTATTTTCATTTATATATAAAACTATTTCTAAGATTGCCTATATTTAGGATGACGCTTATATGCAGTCTTTGAAATAAAGCAAAAATTAATATAAAAAGGGGTTAACATAATGCTCGATTTTAAGGGTTAATTGTGTGAGTTAAGAAAAATAATTATATTTTTTAATGTTACGGAATTTACCGTTAGCTTTTTGCGTTTATAGAAATTTGAAAAAACTTGCGGCTTCGGAAATATAAGGTGTCAAAAATTCAAATTTTACAAATTTCAAGAGGCGATAACTAGAGAGGGAGTGGAGATGGAAAAAAATTTTCTTCTAACGAAATGAACTATTTGCTAATGTCTAAAAGCCCCTAAAATTTCAAAGTTCTACATTATGGGGTCTAGAAGAAAAACGAGATCAAAAATTTGGAAAAAAAGAACTTTAGATAACGGTAAATTTGAACGGCCATTTTGTTTTTCTAAAGTTTAACTGTAGTATATCGCGCTAGGGGAAGCAAGTCGCTGCCTTTCTGCGTTTGAAAAATTTCAAAAATGCTTATGGTTTCATTGCAACAAATATTTAAAAAAGGCCATTTTTAGGCTTTTGGGGGGGTATAACTTCTAGAGGGGGGGAGATAGGTAAAAATTTTGTTCTACGGAAATAAGTTTCTAGTAAAGATCTATGTACGTATTAAATTTCAGCTTTCTATCTTTAAGAATGTAGAAGTTTTGTAAACAGACACACGGACGGACGGACGGACGGACGGACGGACGGACGGACGGACGGACGGACGGACGGACGGACGGACGGACGGACGGACGGACGGACAGAGTGAAACTAATAAGCACTTTTTTCAAAAAATTTTTTGGAAAAGTGCTAAAAAGGAACTTTATAAAATTGAAAATTGTAAAAAAGTTGTAGAGATCAGGGAAAATTTTATTATAGGGATTTTAATTTATGATGCCACCGTTTATTTAATTTGGCAAAAAACAAAATAAAAAAAAAAACAAACAGAAAATGTAAATTAACAAAAATGTAAAAAAAATTAAAAGTTCATTTGGAGTTTTTTTTTGTTTAGTGGAAAATTCTATAAAATGGTCAGGTGTTCATCAAATGATATTCATTTTTATTGATTTCCCTTTTAACTTTTGCCCTTTTTGTTCTTGGCTTAGTACTTACAAATTTCGGCTACTTATAAAGTATAAATTGATAATATAACAAAGAATAACCAGATAAAAGGGTAATTGTTATAAAACAAATTAAGTATTGGTGGAAAACACCAAATGACTCTTATTTTTTACTCTAAAATGAGTAATTTAAAATTATTTTCACAATTTGTACATAATTTTATATAGAATTTTTTAATACTTGGGTTTATTATCCTTAATATTTAATAAAATATTTAATATATTATGTATGAAAACAAGGATTTTAATTTTATTGTAAATTTTAAAAGGTTTCCCTTATGCCATTTGGCACATTTAGTCTATATTTAAAAACCTTTACATAATATCCAGAAACTCACCTGGTAATTTGGCAACACCACCACGTAATACAGCATCATGTACAGCACTAATACCAATTCCTAAAATATTACGATCACCAGTACCACTATCAAAGCTACCACCACCAGTTACACTGTTACTTAAATTACGTCCTAAACGAGCTGGCCCTGAACAAGGAAGACTCGAATATTTGGATGGATTAACATTTGATGGACGTGCTTTTGGCTGTAATTATAAAAAAAAAAAATTGGGAAAATTTCATTAAATTTCAATTTTAAAAATAGTTTGTAATTAATTATTTTATAAATTTAAGGTATTTCAAACTTTTTAATTTATTAATATTTTTTTTGTATTAATATATTTTATTATATTTTCATTAAAAGTTTGAGTTAATCAAATCCAAATGATTTTTTGGGAATATTTATAAAATTTCAAGAATAATTCTGAGATTTCTAAGAAACCAAGGTTACATTAATCAAAAATATATATGTATATATAGTCGTTATTAGTTTTGGCAGAGTAACATCTTAATGGGTGAATAATGCTTTTGAGCACAATTTCAATTAAACTGAAAGGAAAATATGCTTTTTAATATCACCACGTCTGTCCGTACGAAAAATCAAAGTACAATTTCAACTGAAAAAAAAATATATCCAAGCATCACTCTAACAAGATTGGAATTACGATTTTAAATCGATTTTTCTTGAAATTTACAACATCATTTTGCTCTTAGACTTTGTAGCGTTTTAAATTTTAAAATTGACATTAATAAAATAATTTATTTTGTTAAAATAATTTTTTTCTTGTCATTTTCGTTTCATAATTTAATGCATTTAAAAATAAGCAAAATTAAAATTTTCCTCATACAAGATTTATCAAGCTCTAATTAAATTTACAAAATTAATGGTACACTCCAATTTAATATCTCAATTAACCGTGTTTTTTTTAAATTTGCCCCCTTCCCCTAGATATATGCAATAACAAAACTTATAGTTGTTATGTTAATAGCATGTGTATTTTGAAAAATACAGTTCTTAAGGTTAGAATTGTAAAATTTTAAAAGATTTACATTTAATTTTTACACAGAACTCTGGACATTTTTTGTTTGGAATTCTCAACTCAAGAGGTGCATTTTCAAAAGTACCCAATAATATAATTAAAAAACGTCATTCTGAAAAAAGTGTTTTATTAATAACTTACAATTCCAATTTATTAATAATTTCGCAAATCTTATCTAATATAGTAGAAATTTTTAAATTATCGTAAAAATATTTTAGCAAACTTTCAAATTTTTGTGTCTCCGTCTCGTTCTGTATATTTACTAAAAAAATAAAACTATTAAAAAATTAATTGAAGATAAAATCATTTCCGCTTTTGGAGCAAGTTTGGGATGTAAACACCATTGTAATACGGATAATTGTAATTTAATTAATTTATAATTGGAATCGACCCAGTTTCTAAAATATTTGCAAAATCATCATCTCCCCCTCCACAAAATCAGTGAAAATTTTTGTTCGAACATTACACCAATTTATAATGAATATTTTATGAAAAATTGTATACCATTTTTTTCTCTATTTTTATTAAAGTAAGGTAATGAAAAACAGAAGTTGCACATAAAATTAACTTTACATTCGCTTGGATTATTTTTAAATAATAATTTTCCACTTTAAATTTTTTAAGCATGTAATATTCATACATTTATAATATTTACCCATACTCCATCTTATACACAATATTTTAAGTATATAAAAAAGTAGATTTGCGGGTTTGTTTTTTTTTTGTTTTTTTTTTCCTACTCTGATTTAAAATTACACCTCAGATCCAGACAGGTGTATATTTTTTATACCTTAATAGGAAAAATAAGAAAAAGAAAATAAGGAAAATCTATCGTTTGCATAAAAATAAATTTATAACTTAAGATAAACTGTAATTTTCATAATTCGGTATAAACAAAATTTTATAATGGAAAATATTTGGAAAGGTTGGAATGGTAAAATTCAACATAGAGAGAAAAGAGGGATGAAATGAAAAATTTCCTACTTTTCTCCAAAAAAAAAAATGTTTTCTTTAAATTTCCAAATCTTTTAACAAATTTTTCCATCTCATTTTGCAATATTTTTCCATTACTTTTTTCTTAAAATGTCTATATAGAGAAGGAGGGACTCCATTTCATATGTACGCATACAACGTACGTAGAATGAACGAGCAAAAAAAAATTTAATAATAAATTCAAATTTATTTTTTTTTAGCACAGGTACCTGATATGTAGGTAGAAATGTTGCGTACATATGTATATAACTTTTTATATTTAATATACACATATATATTTATTTTTAACGGGATATTAATAAAAAAAACAGTCCTAAATGAAGAATTCAAGAGGAGAGAATTACAAAAAAAAAAAAAATTTTTTTTGCAAAATTTGGTGGTTAAATTCATAATGTTCCTCTTACCTACAATATTCATCGTACGAATAACTAGTACCTGGTACATCATACATAGACCATGTACGTGTTCTGTGTTGAGTATGCTATGAGGTACAAGTATTGAGTAGGCTAAAAGGTATTTTAAGCTTTTTCGCGTTTTAGTGTCTATTATATTGAGACAAATCTTATTATTGTTGCTAAAAAAATTTTTTTAAAAGTGATATATGAGTAATATGTTTGTATATGTACAAAGGTATGTACATGTTTTCTATATACGTAAAAGAATCTAATGAAAATATGAATATTTAGAAAAATATCATCCTATTTAACGATTCAGGTTAAAAATTTTTCTTTTTGGGTTTTTAAATTTTTACAGCTTCCATGTAATATTTTTATATAAATATATTTGATATTTAAAATAATAAAAAAATTGTTAGAAGAGACATATAAAATTATGTAAATTAATATTAAGCAACATACATGGAAAAATTATTGGGTATATTTTGTATTTTGAGCCTTTTTTGCAAGTACTCTGTCCATTGCACTCTAGAAAACGAGATGTTATTGTTATGCCAATGCAAAAAATTGTGTTCAAATATATTTATCCCGGTACATTCGGCCAAGGGATGAAATAGTTTTTTGCGTAGCAAGTATTTGCATAGTAGAGTTGCGTAGCATATTAAGAAGAAATAAAATCATATTCATGAATTTACATTTCAAAGAAGATCACGAAAAATTTCAAGTATTGAATTAAAAGAGTAAATGGCCAAACATTCAATCAAAATTGTGTAATATAGCTGTTAAAGAGCTTCGGGTAATTTCGAATTCAAGAAAGTTTGTGAAAAAAATGCAAAGAAATATGAAGAAATATTAAAGCTCCAACACCTAATTCAATGTTGAGAAGAATATGAAGAAAAATTTCAAATTATTTAATTTAGTATTTGACTCGTAGATGATCTGGGATTAAACCCCTTAATATTGGCAATAGATCTGCTTTGTGCAGTAATTGTAGTAAAATTAAACAAATTATTGTTTGTAATCTGCTGTTTTGAAAACATATAGCCCTATTTAAAAGCATGATAGTAGAAACTACAGGATAGAAAATATATGGAACAGATTTATACTATATTTGGAGTAGCCTCACAAACATTATAAATTCAATTTGTGAATTTTAACGTAGACTACATTCACATTTTTATTTTTATTTCATTATTATAATAAAAATACAAAAAGTTTACAAAACTTCTAACTTGGAATAGATTCATCCATTTATTTGACCATGATTTTTAAATAAATGGCTGCCACAGGTGTTAGATGCCCATCTAAAGTAATATAAATAAAATACCTGGTCTTTATCTACCCAAAATAATTTTTTTTTGTTTTGTTTTTCTTTTAACCATTTTGTTATTCAACTTATGCTACACCATTTTGTCTGCATGTAAATGATTATGTATGCCATTCCAAATTATTTATTTATTTATTTTTTTCGTTATTGTTTTTTTACTTTTCTTTTTTTGATTGCGTGTTATATTACAATGTGGTAAAGTTTTTGCAAATGGTGTTGGTTAATAATACCATATACATTATACACATACATATTGTAATATTTAAAATGTTTGTTTTTTATTTATAGAAAAACTAGGATTCATCTTTAATATTAAAATATAACAGAAAGATATTTTTATTTGCAATCAATAAGGACATTATTTAAGGGAAAAGTGTCCTTTGAGATAATCTGAAAATATAGAACTACAAAATAAAAAAATGTAATATAGAAAAAAAAAAGATAAACCGAAATTACCAAGAAAAGGAAGAAAAAAAAAGGATTTCTTAATATGCCCTACTATTAATTTTTATTGAGTAATTTATAAAAAAAAAAAAAGAAAACTTTTCACTATAGTTTTATATAGTGTTGTTGATGTAAATTATGTAAAGGTATGAATATATTGGTTTATATGTACATTATAAGATCACAATTTTGGTTTCCTTAAAATGTTTTTGATTTGCATATTATCCTATAGAGTAGTTATGGTAGTAGGCATTGATTTAAGGATTTTTTTCCAATATGAATTTAAATTCGATCAAAATCTATATAAGTATTCCATTTTTTTTTTTGCCGAATAAAACTGATAAAAGAAAATTATCAAATTTTTAGGGTATTTAAATTTGATGAAAGTGAAAATATGAAAAATTTGAATCTTTAGGGACATAAAATGTTCATATATAGAATATTTATAGGGGATTATTTTTTGGGTTGATGATGAAAATTGTATTGATTGTAATAGTAAGGATTGATTGGTAACGTAAGTTGTATTTTATAGTTTCATTCCTATAATATTATTATGTAAGATGATTTGCAAATTTTTCTTTTATCTCTAGACGAATTAAGGTTCTTTTCTGTTTCGTGTGCCGCATAAAATGAAATTATTATTGTTTATTTGGAAATTAATAAAATTATTTTTTTAATATTTTATAAACAAAACCATTAATAACTATTCAAACATAGTTTTGAATAATAAATAAAATATTCTTAACTTTAAATATATTAAATGGGGGATTCAAGAAATTTTGATGCTAATCCGCGGGAGAAGATTGGTATTTAATTAATTAATTTGACACAATTTTGAACCACTTCATATGGTTTGTTATTTCAGCACAGAAGAGAAACTGGAAATTTGAACAAATCTTGCAAAATTCTTATGAATTCTTAAAAAGTATCAGTTATAAGAATGGATTTTGTGAGCAATCTGTTGATATAATTTGGGCTAGAAAAGAATTTAATTATTTAAAATTAAA